CTAAGCAGCCATCTACTGTCTGGAGTTTTAAAGCTAAATTGAAGCATTAATAGTTTAATTTATAAACTGGTGTCATCATCAGGGTTAGAGCTCTAGGAATGAAGCACAGAGAAAGGTCACAGGCCGGCATCCACATGAAAGGCCTAGACGGAGGTCCGGGTCTTCAAACCACCAACCACACCAACGTCTTTAGCTTAGATGGATTTAAATGCAGGTAATATGTGTCAGTGGAATTTATTAGATTAAAATAATCTCAGATGGTAGATACTATTATTTAGTATGAGATCAATGGCTCTTTGATTTTTCTTTGCATCAGACAGAATAAGACTCAACGGGTTACAGAGACTAAAAAACCTAAATAAAGACGTTAGATGCTGATTCTATGAATTTCTTCTATGTGGGATATTTTGGCTGTGGGTTCAAAAACGTATGTGTTGATATTTACTGACCTTCCTGAAGAAGAAGCCCCAGATAGAGCGTAGCCAGATGTTCCTCGTCCACCGTCACATTAATCTCCAAGTCACTCAGCAGCTCTGGGTCCAGCCAGAACGACTGATCACACAGGAAGTTCTCCAGGCAACGGGCCACATATCCTAGGACAAGGAAAACTGAACTGATAGCACGATGCTAGAAACACCAACACTAAATTTATTAGAATCTAAGTCACTATTATGCCAAAAAAGTCACCATTTGGTTGAACTGGGCATTGAACGCTACGTTTTCAGCACATCCAGTGCACAGTTCAGGATCTTACCTAATGAAAGGTACGTAGAAAACTTCCAGATCTCCTCCACTGTCTTAAAAGTGAGCACAAAACTATCCTTCTCAGCGTGGACAGAGACGAGACGAGCAGACAAGTCCTGCAGGAACAAAGTCTCGGGTTGCAGCTTCAGATTCACACGTAAGATGCACCATCATTATGTAGACGATAAAGCCCTTTAGAAGGACTTTACCGAACAGCTGACGGTGCAGTACAGAGTCTGTAACATCTGCATGGTCAGGTCTCACCTTAAAGAGCTGTGCAACATCTTTGCTGTTACTCTCCACCACTCTGAGTCGCGTGCGCAGCGCCTCCTGCAGGCCCTGGTCGGGATCATCCCTGCAGCGCCTCCGCCCAGTAAACAGCAGCACAATTTCTAGGCAATCAATAAAATCCATCTTGTTTAAGTCTAATAAACTCAGCTTTACTTTGGCTCATGATTCATGTTTTACGGTGTTTTTTCAGCCAGTCCCCAAAGCAGGAAAACTTACAGCTCGACCGTGACTTGAAAAAGGGACCACGTTTTGGAAAAGTTCTTTAAATATCATCTGTGAGAGCTTTTTATTCTAGAGATGCTCTTGGAGCACGTGGAGTCCCTGGAGGAATCACTAAACCATTAGGCTTTTTACCGGACTCTCTGCGCGGCCATTTAAACCCATTTCAGGGGAAGAACCTTGAGGAATGCGATGGATGAAGCGAATCTGCTGATTGAGTAAAGCATTAGTAGACGGGGGGACGTGCTCCATCGGCATTCATAAGACGTCGTCTCCGTTCAAAACGCCTGTTGTTCACAAACACAGAGGAGCATGGTGAAACTCCGATACCTGAAGAGTGTTTATCTCCTACTGAGACGATGCTTCCTCGAAGGAAGGCTTCTTTCTTCCTCCAGTAGTTGTCGTCAGTGCCTCCTTCACCTGATTCTCCTGCGAGGCCATCGTCTTCCTCACCTGTTTGTGGAAAAGGGAGGAAATCGAGTAAAGATGGTGTTCTTCGTCTGGGTCGAGGCCAAACCGAATCTGTTGTTTAGGAAACATCTCTGCTGCTGTGGAGACAACCAGGTGTGTTGAATGTGGAATCTGTTTTATCAGAACGTCCATCAGAAACTTTGATTTCATTCACAGAGTCTAACTCTGGCTTTACAGTCTGAACCTGAACGTGTTTCAGGACACAACAAGATAGTGATCTGCTCTGTGTTCCAGCCCGGCTGTGCAGCAGTGATCCCACTAGAACCATGCTAGACTTTAGAGACACATTTGACCAGATTTGACGGTTTCCAGTCCTTCAGCTACGAATCTGAGCACACAAAATGTGTCTCATCAGTGTTAAGCACACAAAGATGGACGCACACGGCACATTTTTTCCCAACAGTGTTGTTTGCTCCACTGTCCAGGGAGGATGTCCCAAACACTTCCTCTGGCTGGGACCTGAAGGAGAGCAGCACGGCTCTGCTTCACACCAAGCTCATGGCTGATTTCACAGAATTATTACCTTAAGCATATTTATCGGCTCTGGTGCAACATAGCTACCACACCTTGAGTCATGTTGCTGCTTCCTGAGAAGTGCTCATTTGTTCCCCCAAGAGTGTACAGTGGTTCCCTCCAAAGAGCGTCCAGCTCAGCAGGAGAGATGTCTGCAAAAGGAGAGGGAAATCGGTGAAGGTCACAAATGTGCAAAAGTAGACGTCGATCCATTCTAATGTCCTTTTTAGCTGAAACATCCCTAGAACATCCTACTTAGTGAGTAGGAACGTCCGTGTTTGCACCCTCATGTGTGCAGAATATATGAAGCCACAGCCAGCAGCCCAGCAGATTAGCTCATCTTATCAATAGAAAGTGAAAAAGGAAACATCTTAGCAGGCTCAAAATCTGCTTGTCGGCACCTCCTAAGCTTCTGCAGATGTTCAGCAGGGCATTTAGCTCATGAGCTCAACCAGTTCTAGACAGGAAGTAGATGCTAGATCGACATTAGAGACCCCTACATGTTTTAAGGATGTCCCACTAAGTTAGATTTACCTTGGACAACAAGCTGCGTATAGATTAAATTAGATCTTTTCTAATTTATTTTAGGACTCTTTGACCTAGCTGCACTTATCGTCTCCTGGCTGTGGCTTACCAGGACCAATTAAAAGCATGTGTGGGAAAAAGGTGTTCAGACAGCAGGGCGTTAAGCACAACGGGGAGACGGATTCAGGCGTTTAAATAAAAACACCAAGTTTCAGCCGCTGGTTAGTTTGAGGAGTTTTCAGTGGGATGCACACACACACACACACACACACACACACACACACACACACACACACACACACACACACACACACACACACACACACACACACAGAAAACCTTCAGCTGACATCTCAGGTCACACTTCCGTGTCACACTATCAGTGGACGAGCCATAACAGCTAAAGAAAGAATAACAAATCCATTCGTTTGAAGTTGAACATGCGGTGTAAAACACAACGGGACGTTGAGATCTTGGGGCCAAGCGTTCACAGAGAAACAATGGGGAGCGACACAATCTGTAACATGACATTACGCCAGAGAGGACAACAGCCTATTCTTTCCATCAGAGCAGGGTTAGCACACACACAGTTATGCTGTTACAGCGCAGGATCACACCATGCCCTTTTACCTTCGTGGCTAAGTGTGCTACCCATAATGACCTGAGTCCCTGCCTATGTGAACGTAGCAGGCATGACTGTAGAGCACAGAGAGCAGGCTGGGACCGACCTGTGAAGGAGGAGAGGCAGACTTTGGTGAGCGATTGGCAGCAGGAGCAGCTGAGGAGCGGTCTGCAGCAACAAGACACCATCTGGCCCAAGAGCCGGCAGCTCTCAGAGATCAATGCCATCCCATCAGTTTCCCTCGGCCACTTTAGTGACTACTCCCTCTCTTCCTTACTGTTGCAAAAGCCCTGCTTCCTTTGCTGTTCCTGCAGCACCGTCCCTGCCCCGCTACACCACCGGTAAACGCTAGCTGGATCTGCCGCACCGTCCCCCTGCTAGGCTTTATCTCCTCTTCTTCTCCACTATCTGTCTGGGAATGCTTCTCTTTACAATATTTCTTTCCCTTACTCTTTCCAACTCTCTCCCCCTCCTCCCAACATCTCTCTCCTCTTTTTCTCTCTCTCTCTCTCGCTCTCTCTCTCCCTCTCTCTCTGCTCAGTAGCTGCCCAGACAGTCAGCCGATGCACAAAGCAGTCTTTACAAATGGTATGAGTGTGTAGGGGGAAGGCCTCAGTGTGTGTGTGTGTGTGTGTGTGTGTGTGTGTGTGTGTGTGTGTGTGTGTGTGTGTGTGTGTGTCATTGAAAATATGCACAGAATGTGTGTGTCACAGTAACAATGAAGGTGGCAAGTGTCTGTGTGTGTGCATGTGTGTGTTGCTGTGATAATGCACTGCTGAGCCGCTGTAAGGTAACGCCTCACCAGGGTAGGCTGAAAGGTGGAAGTAAGGTGGAGGTGAGAGCTGTCTGCTGGCTCCTACCCTGGATCAGAGCCCTGAGAGAGGTGTGTGCTACACACACCCTGTGGCCCATTACCATCTGAAAAGGATGGATCCATTCATGGTGGAAATGATTTCACATTTACTGTTTTCATTATTTTTTGTTCGTTCTTTCTGCATGCACGGGCCACCAGGGCTGGACTGGGACCAAAATTCGGCCCTGGCATTTTAACGAATCGTCGGCCCTCCCCATTGGGAGAGCGGTGGGGGTGGGGGGTGTTGCCGCCCGCGGACTCGTCTCTAGGCCGAATGTGAGATCTAAGATGGACTGGGACTGTTAAATTACAAGCAGGGCCCGGCCGCTGCGACCGGGAGCCCTGGCCTTCCAGATCAGCTCATTCTCCACGGGCGGAGATCAGCGGGACATTAGCTACATGCTAACGCGGTTAAACAACTCCTACGTGATCGCTCTACCGCGTTTTTCTTGCTAAAGATGCCTAGAAAAGCTATGTTAGTTTCGGTTACCATGTAGATAATGTTCTGCAGATCACCAACTGTGGTGTAGTGTCGGCCCAAGCTGGGCAAGCAGCCCACTTGGCTAAGCGGTCCACCGGGACAGTGCCAGAGTGCCAGATAGGCCAGTCCACCCCGGTACTCGTCCAACTGCTGATCAGCCAATCCCATGGCAGTAACTCAGCGAACCAGAGTAGCGGACTGCAGCAGGAAAAGACCACACCTGTTCAGATGAGCCCCAGCTGCAGCTGTAACATTCAGACTGTCGAGTCAGTGAGTAACACGAACGCTGCCACGTACCAATGCTCCACATTTAGTGTATAACAGGCATTAAAGAAATTAGGGACCTAGGCCAGTGGCACCACTCTTGGTCCCGGAGAGCCGTATCCAGCATGTTTTCCTTGTCTCTTTGGTCCAACACACCTACTTCAGTGGTTGAATCCCCTGTGCATTAGCTCAGGTTCTGCAGAAGCCTGTTAATCACCTCCTAGTTGAAATCACGTGTGTTGAAACAGAGTAATAACTAAAACATGCTGGATACCGTCCCTCCAGGACCAGGAGTGAGTACCACTGACCTAGGCCCAGGCCTGAGTGTGCACTCTGCTGATAGACAGCCTTCATACAGTTTTTAAGGATGCTTTGATTTTTACCCCTAGGAGGAAATAAAAACTGTTTGAAATCCACAGTGGTTCATTTCCTCTCTGCATCTCCCCTGCTACGAACAGGTTACCCACAAATCCTTTTGCTCTGGTCTCCTGAAGGTAACAATCTCAGGTGGGTCTGCATGGTGTTCATGTTCAAGAACAACCTAAAGCATCCCAAAGAGAACCCGGTTTTTCAGTCTATTATCTGATTAAATGCAGCACCATCAGCGTGTTCTTCTTTTTGACTGGCTGTGGGAAATTCATCTCTTGAATGTAACTGCATGATGTCGTCACGTCATCATGGATCAGAACCTCTGAGGGGTGTTTCCAAAACCCTGTTAAATGACTGATATGAAGAATGTAGGCAGTTCTGAAGACAAAAAAGGAGCCTGATTTAAAATGGGTAAGGTGCACATAATAAAGGTGTTAAATGTACAGTAATGTATAGAAAAGGTAAAAATCTAACTGATGGCTATTATTGCTTTAATTTACCTGCTTTTTGTACATTTGTTTATAGATGCACCTTTTGTAAAGGCTAACTACACCAGAGTCAAAATAACTTTCCATTGAGGGCCGATGAAATATGTTTTGTAACATGATGCATATTATTATATTATTATTATTACTACTACTACTACTACCACTACTACTATTATTATTATTATTATTATTATTATTATTATTATTATTATTATTATATCATTGTTATTATTATTATTTTATTATTATTATTATTAGTAGTAGTAGTAGTATTAGTATTAATATTATGATTAATATAATTTATAAGTAGAATTTATTATTATTATTATTATTATTATTATTATTATTACTAATATTATTATTAGAATTTATTATTATTATTATTATTATTGTTATTATTATTATTTTCTTTTTATCACTATTATATTATTATTATCATTATTATTATTATTTTATTATTATTATATTATTATTGTATTATTATTATTATTATTGTATTATTATTATTATTATTATTATTATTATTATTATTATTATTATTATTATTATTATTATTATTATTACAATTTGTTGCAGCAAGTTTGCAAAAATAGCCTCTTTAATTTTGTTTCCGCCCACATGGGGGCAGTGTAGAGTAAATACGTAAAGCAAGCAGTAATGCTGGTGAAGGGACAATCTATCTGGGCACAGTAATCCAAGATGAAAAGATGAAAGAAGAAACAATAACTCAACTGCTTAAGCTCTCTGAACGCAATTTTATTGCTCATCTAAGGAAGTTTTTAATTCTAACAGAAAGTTTAGGAACACTAACCTTTTAACATCCATAGCTTCATTAAAGCGAGTTTACAATTCACTGCCCAGTCCTCCCTAGGGTCATAGCTTCTCCCAAACAGGAGCTGGATGTGAGTGTGCTGCTGAGTGGAGTAAAGCCTAATGCATGCTTCTCCGTCTGCGTGGGTATGGAGACACGCAACGCTGTTATGTGTCAGCCCAAGGGCTCTCCAACAGGCTCGCAGTGGCTGATGGGGACACGCCCAACCTTTAATATCACAAGCTTGTGATTGGTCAGGATGCTGCTTCTTTCAATTTCGTCAACAGCACCTCCATTGCCCCTCAAAAGATAAAGACAGAGCTGAAGAAATTTTGCAGTAAATGCAGAACATATTAAAGAATGTATCGCAGAAAAAAATTCTAAATTACTAATGTTTATTCGCCCAAGAATGAAGAAGCACAGAGACTCAACACACATTTTATTTGTTGACGGAAACGTGAGTTTAGAGGTGGTGCCTGCATGAACAGGTGGAAGTAGAAGTACACATTCATCCATATTAAAAGTATCTGATTTACAAAAACACTATATAAACACAATATATTGGACCGGATACATGACTGTGATGGTTACGGGATACCCCCAGACAGCGCTACACCCTCTGTTGTCCTGGCAGGGGACTGATTTACAGCACTGCCCAGCTGACGGAGAAGTCCGAAAGGAAAACATCTCCGTTAAGCCCGCCACACACAAGAGCAAGCTGCTGACCAAACGGCTTCGAATGACCGTTTGCTCAGCAGATACCTCGCTGCTTGCATCTGATTTTCACTGAGTTTCCCGCCTCACGAGACACTGAGGTGAATATCTGACTGGTTTAATATTTTCAGCTTCGTGGAGGGTAGAAACTCATCGTGTGCGCTCTATGTGAGCTACTGGCTGAGCTGAAATATTGTCGTGGCCAATCAAAGCGCGTTCTCCATTCACATGATTCCAAGATGTATTCAGGTGCAGCCCCCTGCCCTGTCTGCTTGTCAGAAAAATAAACTAAATGGTATCTTGCGGATCGACGGGCCCGCTGTTTCCACTACAGTCTGGAAGGATTCAGGATCCAGGCGGCGGTACGGTCAGAAGGATTCTGGGTTTTCAAGGCACATCTCTTGGAGTAGATTGGCATAAACTCCTTGCCTGGCCCTTCTTTCCAGCCACACTACTCTCCTAACTTTGAAATGACGATGGCAGCGACGCATAGAGGCATTTCCTCCGTTTCCAGCTCTGTCTCCGTTTTGTTTATTTTCTGACATGCAGACAGTTGGCTGCCATCTTGGGGTCATGTGAGTGGAGAACGCGCTTTGATTGGCCACTAGAATATTTCAGCTCAGCCAGCAGCTCACATAGAGCGCACACGGTGAGTTTTTACCCCCCGTGAGGCAGAAAATATCAAACTGGTCAGATATTCACCTCTTGAGGTGGAAAACTCAGTGAAAATCAGGTGAACACAGCGAGGTATCTGCTGAGCAAACAGTCATTCGAGGCCGTTTGCCCTCATGTGCGGCAGGCTTTAATGCGTGTGCGTCACTCCACTCGAGCTGACGGGGAAGTGTAAATCAGCCTTAAGGAGTGTCCAGCTTTTGTAAAGGAGAAACAAAGTAACAAACACTGTATTACAAAGTGGAGGCTACAGTTGCCCCCTTACCCCCCTGCAGATCTGCCCCTGTTATTATTATTTTTGGAAATCACTTATATTTTTAAAGGAGATGTGTCATGCTATTATACATCTTCCAGAGCAACAATAAGGTTCTGATAAATGATTATTGTTGGCACTACTGAAATACCACCTCCACCCATGTGAGTTCCACAAACGTACACGGCTGCAAACTGCAGATTCACACCAACATGTCCCACTCAGGCATCACCGAGTGCCTGTGTGAACGCTTTGTCTCGCTGTGCTCAAACCAACAAAGCTCCTCAAATGACAAGCACATCCTCTTCAGAAAGAAGTATTTTCACATGTACTGAAAGCCTTTTATCAACACCTGAAGAGAAACTCCCTTCACCGCTAACAGAATTTTGTTTGTAACCACCAGGCCCGGCAGGAATTATTAAAATAACTAGCCAGGAGGGCAAATGTTAGCCAAGATGTCTGACAAGCAACAGATAGAGATGAGCCAGACCTTTCTTTCTCATGTCATGCGTATTCAAATAAATGTTGTTTAGTAATAAATATGTGACAGTCAAGAGACAAGCTAAGAACTTTGTTTGAAAATTAGTACTCGAGTACAATAATACCATTGTTGTAACAGAATGATTCAAACGACCAAGTTACTGAACCTCATAGAGTAGTCTTTAAATAGAACGAAAGAAAGTGGGTAGACCACAAATCCCCTGTGTGTGTGTG